ATGGGCGAGTACAACGAGTCAACGAACACAAGGATGATTGGACCAGCCGATACGCCCCCGGGAAACCCTGCTAATGAAAGTGAGGCAAGGCCGGAACGTGGACTGGACGCTACTCCATTTATTAAAGGCCAATCGAACTTGACACTAAATCATATCCTTTGACGACACACCTCAGTCTCGCTAAAAGAAACGAACCTTTTCAGCTAGGAACAAGTTGAGGGAGTGACGATTGGTTTGTATGTATATTACTATACAAATTTCATTTATAATAATACGATAACTTTATTATTAAGTCAATCATTCTAGCTTATATAGTACTTTACAACGGTTTGTTAATTGGCGACATCTAACTAACCAATTCTAATAGAAACGCAGGATCCGTTTTCAAGGTCTGAATGAAATTCTGTGTACATAGCTAAGCATTAAAGAAAGAAATCGCTGTTTCTAAGTTATTCTTTAGTTTTCATGTCGTTACTATACATTGAGAAGATTTAAATGTCACTAATAATTCGTTGTCCTTTTGCTGATCCAGACTAGACTGGATTACACTATGATTTTGCCGGACTGATCAAGTGACGGTAAGAACATTACACTTAATCTAGACATCCTCTATTCCCTACCCTCGTTTGACATGTTTGCTGTGCATTAAAATGTTTTTGAATATTTATTAGAACTAACTACTGATGTATCGTCGTCCGTTTTACGGGAAGAGCCTTGTCGCTGAAGTGGGTGAAGTTGGATTACGTTCAGATTCTCACAACTCTAGTTTACATTAGTAAGTTTAAGCCATGCCTTTATAGCTACACACATTAAAGTTTAAATGTAAAAAAGTAAAGGAATGATTTTAATGTTCAGGGCAAGAAAAGTACTCTTTAGATTTTCAGCACGGTGACTTTCAGTTTCCTGCGCGCTGATCTTCGTCTGTGAATTTTCTTTTTTGTGTTCAATTTGTTTATGACTGTCAGTTTTGTACTGTCATAGCCTCATATTGACAGGTGCGCATGTATGCTTATCTTCGTGTATGGTCTAGAGCTGTGTGCTATTATTTATTTACGTATGTTGCCTGCAGCTTTGTGTATTGTCGTCACGAACCCTCCTTTTCCGCGTTTACTTTTGTCTCTGACTCAGTGCAAGTTTTGAGTTTACTTTTGCTAGTGATCTAAACTTTCAGTTTTGCATGTCCCTTGAGATCTATGACTTCCAGTTTTCTTGAAATTATCTACAACGGTATTTTTAGTTTTTTCTGTTATCCTGTAGACAAACGAAGTCCTATTGTAAAAAAGAGATTGTCGTGGCCTTTTTTGCATTCTTTCCACCAAGCTGAAAGAAACTGGTGAGTTAACAATATTATTTACACTTAACTATCTTATTGCTTGGTTTTTAAACAAATTGACCTTAATAAGTAAGGAAATATTTATTGAAATCGCTAAGTATGTTTCCCTGCCAGCAATTTCTGACGGCAATAAAATAATGACAGAAAGATCTATTTCACTTTGGTCTAAAAATTTGTTTCTTTGAAGGCAGAGAAAATCCCATAATGGATTGTTGACCATTTAACTATGCGCATGTCTAGGTAGATGGATTGTTGAAGTTCAATGTTTGCTCTTTTTCCACTTATTTAAACTGATAATGTTATTGTGTTTTGAGAATATTCCAGTAGAAATTACAAACTCGTGTTGTAACCAGAAAAGTGCGAAACCGAGAATAATTTGGTTTTCAAGATGAATTTCAATTTTAAGACCTTAGCATTAAAAGCATGGTCCAAATAAGTGTGAAAAATTCTGCGATAACTTACCTCGAGCTGTGCTTACTAACAAAGGAGCAAATATTTTTTTCACAATTTAAGTGCTTCATTTAATTTTCAGATCAGATTTTGAAGATCAAACGAGATGGGATAGTAATTAAAAAGTTTGTTTCATAAAATGCTTTATTGGAATCTCAGCACATAACAGCAAATGACCGCAATGTATTTTCATTGACTCTAGTGGGAGTTATCTTTTCTTAAGTAAGCCTTAGTATCGCCCAGCATGTGGTACAATTAACTGATTGGTATCAGCTTACAATTAGCTTTTGAGGCAATTAATATGATCATAACCTTTTTTGGAATAATATTTTACATCGCAAAAATTGTTCAAAAATAGCCTGTTTGTCAGATGTATCTCCGCCTTGAGTTTTTTTCTAATGTAAAATGAATAACTCAACCTCGTTCCCTCAAATCCCTGAGGTGAATTGCCTCAAAACACTTAACTTGCTTTCCCTGTAGAATAACAACTATGTGAAATGGCAAACTGAAGGCTTTTGTAAAACATCATGTTTATTAATATCGGTCAAGCTACTTAACTTGTGATAAGGCGATCCTTTTTTTCACAGCAGGCCAAAGGAAAGAGAAAAAAAACAACGCCTGATATAATTACTTCACGAGTCGTCTGTCCGTAGTCCAGAATCGGGACTTTTTTCTGATTGGTCGTAAAACAAAAGATTATCTAAACTCGCCTTTCTCATTGGTTACGTGATTGGATATCTGACTTCCGGTACAATTTCAAACATGAAGCGTGGCGGCCGTTGAGATAAATATATTTGTATATAAGATTTGTATTAAGATTTATTCACAAATACTTAAAGGAACAGGAGTTGGAATGCATCCGGAAGATCATCTACTGGAAAGAAAAGTTTTAGCCGTTCTTTGGACGGAATTTGGCAAGAGCGTCATTAATTATTTGATTCTGAAAGTGTCAAAAACGTCTGCGGTTGACATAATTAAGTTGTGGGCAGTGCCCTGGAATATACCTGTTGCAATGTTTATTTTCGCATTGTTGCAACCTCTTCCAGGCATTCAGTCAGTTGGGGCGAAGCGCGAAAAACAGCGCGCCTTTTTTGACTTTTTTCGCGCGCTATTTTTCACGTTTCGCTCCAACTAACTGAACGCCTAAAAAAGGCTAGCATTGTTCAGAGGTTTGACCACTTCCCATCTGATGTTCTACCCTTTTTTTAATGCAAAATTTTTTAAAATTAGAGGTCCCGTCAGTTCTCAATTATCCAAGAGACTCGTGACCAGACCAGATTAGACCATGATCTCTCCTTCAGTCTCGCTCCAGAAAGGGGAAAGAAGAGCGACCCTGAGAACGAGGTTGTAAATAACTCCCCTCTCCTCCCCTCGCTATAATTTTTTAGTTGCCCTACGTACGGTTTCCCTAGGATGTGATAGGAATGAAATGCATGTTTATGTGTCAATTATAACAACAGCAGTAAACCAGCAGATCAACAAACTTGGGTCTAAATTAGTTCCCACTTTTTTTCTCTGTTATGGCTAACAGAACTGATCAGTGAGATGAACAACGTAGACGAAGTTATACAAGTTATCTTGATCGGCCTCATTTTTGCCGGCTTTCTTCTCAACACCAGTCGATATCTAACAGCCATCGAATTATGCAAGGAATGCTTGTTCATTCTGCAAGACAGAGCAGCCATAATAGACGAGAAATTCACCAAATCATTCTACAAGACGATATATTTTACAATGTGGAAGGCTTGTAGTCTTATCAGTGATAACACAAACGCCATAAAATACGCAGAGAAGATTCTCCAAATTTACCGTGAAAATGGTGAAAGACTTGAAGAATGTGAGCTAAGCTTAGAACTTGGAGAGATGTATTTCCATCAATGCAAATACCCAGAGGCAATACAACTCTATGAAGAAGCGCTCCTGATCAGTAGAGAAATTGGAGACAGAAGAGGAGAAGCTTACTGTCACGTAGGCCTTGGAGTCGTGTATCAATCAGTTGGCGAATATGAGAAGGCTAAAGGATATCTCGAAAAGTCACTCTCGATCCACAAAGAAATTGGAGACAGAAACGGAGATGCTGCCTCGTGCTTAAACCTTGGAACTGTGTGTCTACCGAATGGCGAATATGAGAAGGCTAGAGAACATCTGGAGAAATCACTTGTGATCTATAGCGAAATTGGAAACAGGAAAGGGGAAGCTACCTCGCTCTATTACCTTGGAGCTGTGTGTCGAACATTTGGCGAATATGAGAAGGCTAAGGGACATCTGGAGAAATCACTTGTGATCTTCAAAGAAATTGGTGGCAGAAATGGAGAAGCTAGCTCTTACTTATGCCTTGGAACTGTTTATCAAGCAATTGGCAAATACGAGAAGGCTAGAGAACTTCTCGAGGAGTCACTTACGATCCAGAAAGAAATTGGACACAGAAAAGGAGAAGCTGCCTCCTACGTAAGTCTTGGATCTGTGTGTGGAGCAATTGGCGAATATGAGAAGGCTAGAGAACATCTCGAGAGAGCACTTGTAATTCAGAAGGAAATTGGAGACAAAGAGGGAGAAGCGATAGGTTACGCTAACCTTGTAACTCTGTATGCATCAGTTGGCGAATACGAGAAGGCTTCAGACTACTGTCAAAAATCCTTAGCCATCAGTAAAATGATTGGCAACAGACGTATACTAGCTTTTAGTTACTATGAGCTAGGAGCGAACTTTTACTCTCTTGGAAAGTATAGAAAGGCTAACGAATATAATCAGAAAGCACTTGCAATCTTCAAAGGCATTGGAGACAGAGATGCGATGGCTAAAACGTACCTCAAGCAAGGAGCTGTGGAGCAAGCTGTTGGTAACTTTGTCAAGGCAAGAGAATATTTTGAAAAAGCAATTGCGATAAGCAAAGAAATTGGAAATGGGGATATAAAAGCAGCGGGTTGCTCAAACCTCGGCGTTTTGCTTATAGATCAGGCTGAATATGATAGAGGGGAAGAATATATCAAGAGAGCACTTGTATTAAGTGAAGCAGTTGGAGAGATTGAAAAACAGTTCCAGTTGCTCATAATTATGGCACACCTTAGAATGAAAGAGAGAAATATTCGGGAAGCTATCTCATATTTCCT